GGTAAGGTAGACTTGTTCAAAGATGACATGATCTTATATTTAAAAAATAAAGATTCCACCAAAAAATTGTTAGAACTGATAAATTTAGCAAAGGTGCAGGATACAAAAATCAACATAAGAAATTCATGCATATATGCCAAAAGCAAAGAATCTGAAAAAGAAATTAAGAAAGCAATCCCATTTACAACAGCTACAAAGAATGTGAGACACTTAGACCTCAATTTCACCAGCAAAGGAAACAAGGAAAACTGGAAAGTACTGATGAAAGACATTGAAGGAAACGTTTTAAAATAGAAAGATTTTCTATGCTTATTTGTTGGAAGAACTATTATGACTAAAATGACAGTTTTACCAAAAGCAATTTACAGATTCAATGCAATCCCTGCCAAAATATCAATGACATTCTTCACAGAAATAGAAAAACTAATCCTAAAATGTATAAGGAACCACAAAAGACACAAACGATCCTGAATAGCCAAAGCAATCCTGAACAAAGAAGAGCAAAGCTGGAGGTATCATATTACCTGACTTCAAAATATGCTACAAAGGTGAAGTAACCAAATCAGCATGGTAATGGCAAAAAAACAGACACATAGACCAATGGAACATATAATAATAGAGGACCCAAATATAAATCCAGGTATTTATAGACAACCCATTTTCAACAAAGGTGCCAAGAACATGCAATGGGGAAAGAACTGTCTCTTCAATAAATGATGCTGAGAAAACTGAAAATTCATATGCAGAGGAATGAAACTAGACCCCTTTTGCTCATCATACACAGAAATGAAATCAAAATGGATTAAAGGCCTAAATTTAAGATCTAAAACTGAAACTACTAAAAGAAAACATTGGGGAAACGCTCCAGAACATTGGTCTGGGCAAAGATTTCTTTGTGTAAGACCTGATTTCTTTGTGTGGCAACTAAAGCAACAGTTGACAGATAGGATTATGTCAAGCTGAAAGGCTTCTGCACTGCAAAGGAAACAATCAACAAAGTGAAGAGACAAGCCAAAGAATGGGAGAAAGTATTTGCAAACTATCCGTCTGATAAGGAATTAATAACCAAAATATGTAAGAAGCTTAAACAACTCAAGATTTTAAAAAAATCTGATTTTTAAGTGGGCAAAAGACATGAGTATACATTTCTTTAAAAAGACAAATGGCCAACACATGTATGAGAAAAATGCTCAACATCAGTAATCATCAGGGAAATACAAATCAAAAGTACAGTGAGTTATTATCTCACCCCAATTAAAACAAGAGAGGGAGTAACAAATGCTGGCAAGAACACAGAGAAAGGGGAACCCTCAGACACTGCTGATGGGAATATAAATTAGTCTAGCCACTATGAAAAACGAACAGCTTTGTCAACAAACTAAAAACAGAACTACCATATGACCCAGCAATTCTATTACAGGATATATAGCCAAAAGAAAGAAAATGAGGGTATCGAAGAGATGTCTGCCTCCCATGTTTATTGCAGTACTGTTCACAACAGCCAAAATGGGGAATCAACCGAAGTGCCCATTAATAGATGAATGGATAAAGAAAATGTGGTATGTAATATTATTCAGCCATAAAAAGGAATGAAATTCTGTCATTTGCAGTAATATAGATGGAGCTGGAGGTCATTATGTTAAGTGAAATAAGCCAAGCACAGAAAGATAAATGTTGCATGTTCTCACTCATATGAGAGAGCTTAAAAAGCAGATCTCATGGAAATACAGAGTAGATTGATGGTTACAAGAGACCAAGAAAGGTAGAAGGAAGAAATGGATGAATAGAGATTGATTAATGGATACAAATATACAGTTTGATAGAAGAAATAAGACCTAGTGTTTGATAGATCCATAGAGTTAGCATAATTTGTAACAATCTATTGTATGTTTCAAAATGGCTAGAAGAGAATAATTCAAATGTCTCTAGCACAAAAAAAAAGACAAATAGTTAAGATGATGTATGCTGCAATTATATTGATTTCATCTTTACAAATTATATGAGTGTATTCAATCATCACATGTATCCTAAAAATATGTACGTCTATTATGTATCAATAACAAATTAAAAATGGAAGAAACAAAGAAGAGTACAGAGTTTGAAAGTTTCCATGAATTCTTGGCTCAAAATATGCACTGGTCTGCTCATCTAGCATTAGGGTTCAATGCAAGATTATATGTAATTTCTCTGGGCTTTTTGCTCAAAAGCGTTGAAATAATTTTTTCTTTAATGAAAATCTAGTAGTGACCATTCGGGATTCCTGGCACCTAAAAGTCTCTTCCAACCAACTAAGCTGAAGGTGAGGCCATTTGGCCCCTCCATGCTGATCCCACCAGCACCTACAGGCAGAGTAACTCACACACTAGGCAACACTAACTCATTGTGATTAACTAGATAGATGGGCTCACTGCTTTTTTCAGGGTCCTTCTCTGATCCCTGACTTACAGGAAACTTGCCTTTCAAGCCAACATAGTATTGGATCTGGGTATATAGACCTAACATGGGGACAACTTTGAGGTGTCTTGGAGAATAAATACAGAACGGGGTTATAAAACTGTCCACCAAGAGCTTGGAAAGACAATCAACAGGCATGTGAAAGATCTGTAGAGAAAGTGATTCAGGAAGGAAATTGAAAGGACAGGCATATCTGAGTAACAATACGTCCACTAACAGAGGGAATGGTAAGCACTCAGGCATCACCCAGGCAGCGGAAAATCTGAGCAACTGCAATTCAGTGGCTTCAAAAAAAGATTTAAATAGCTAATTAAAATTTGATGAAAAAGTTTAATTCTACTAATAAATGAAATAAAAGTAATAATGGGATTCTATTTTAAGCCGATTTTTAAGTGATGATGCTCAATGCTAAGAAGGGTTCTATGAGATGGTCAGAGTCACATTTCCTGGTAGAAGTGTAAAGTGTTATTTGGAAAGTAATCTGGCCACAAGAAGGGAGGATCCCTAAAATACTCATATCTTTTTGTTTGTTTTTGAGACTGAGTCTCGCCCTGCTGCCCAGGCTGGAGTGCAATGGTGTGATATTAACTCACTGTAACCTCCACCTCCCAGGTTCCAGCGAGTCTCCTGCTTCAACCTCCTGAGCAGCTGGGATTACAGGAGTGCACCACCATGCCCAGCTAATTTTTGTATTTTTCGTAGAGATGAGGTTTCAACATGTTGGCCAGGCTGGTCTTGAACTCCTGACCTCGGCCTCCCAAAGTGTTGGGATTACAAGCATGAGCCACCGCACCCCTGTCTTTTAACCTAAGGAAGACTACTGCAATGTTCATATCTTCTGGGTTGAGGAAACCTTTCCATATCAGTTAGGTTTAGGTTTAGCTGCATATAACAGAGATCCTAAAATAACAATTGTAAAGTGCATAGCTGTGATCTGCCAGAGAGGCTGCAAGATGGAGTACTTTAGCCAGACATTATCACTCAAATGAAACTGAGATTCTGTTATTAAGGAGGAAAGATAGAATGGATGTCAAATAGGTGTCTAGCGATTTTTGCTCCATTGTCCTAGGGAGAAAATTTGAACTTAAAAAATAATTTGTAAAAAGTCATTGATTTTCAGAGAAAAGTCTGAATTTCCAAATATAGGGAATATTTGCAATGTGTAAATCTATTCAGTTCTATATAATAAGTAATGTTATTTGCAAAGTTTTAAATAATAGTTGGCCGTGCTTAATTCATAATGTCAATTTAAAAAAAACAAAATACATTATTCTATAGTTTATACTCTCAAGTATGCAAAAAACCTCAGAAGATTGTTATTTTATTTATACGTATCTTCAGTTTTCATATTTTCCATTCTAAGCAAATTTTCAATGCATGCTAAGAAAATTGTAGATATTATTTTAATATGATAATTGAAGGCAAATTTTCATATTTGAGAGAAAAAAATCTCAAATTGGAGATTTCTCATATTGCTTCAAACAAAATATAAGAGACCAAGACATAGCCTGGTAAATTTTTTAAATTTTAAGGAAACAAATCCTATAAACAGTGAATTGGGGAAAGCAAGTCACCTTCAAATGAACTAAACTCATGTTGGCTACAGATCTTGCCCTCTGCAGAACTAAATACCGGAAGGAAATGGATTCATGTTATGGTCAGTTAGTCATCACATCATCATAATCACTAACATTTACTGAGCACTTAATTGAACATAAGAACTTTTATTTGCTTAACCAACATCTTATGAAGTCGTATTTTAACATGGGGTACAGGGACTTATTCATTGTCTCACAGATTGTCAGTAATGGAGCTGAAATTCACACCCAGTCTGATTCTCCCTAAACCCTTTGTATTCTGCTTAACATCTATAGAACTTTTTTATTTTTAAATGGAGTCTCTCCCTATTACCTAGTCTGGAGTAACTGGTATGATTATAGCTCTCTGTAGCCTTAAACTCCTGGGCTCAAGTGATCCTCCTACCTCAGCCACCCAAGTATCTGGGAACTACAGATGTGTGCCACCAGTGCCAGCTACATCTATAGAACTTTGAAGGAAAACAAATTGTGATGCAAAGAGATTATCGTTGATGAGTACAGGAGTTTAGCAAATATGCCTCCTTCCCATGTCCTTCAACAACTTTTCAAAGACTTCCTGCAAATTACCAAGATATTCATCACAATGAATTAAATAATAGTACATTATAGAAGAAACAGACAAGAGTAGGCATCCACCCACATCACATCTTAGAACTAAGGGTTTAAAAGCAATGACCTCGAATGGGGTAGGATGGATGCCAAGAAGTCTAAATAATGGATTTAACTTAGATACAAAAATCTTAAGGCCAAAACAATTTTTCATGTCACAGTTTTAGGAAGAAGTCAGACCTGTCCTTGAGGCCCCATGAGGAGCTTCATTGTCGAGTGTGGCCTGGCTTGCTCATAGGGGAATTAGGTTGCAGTTCCTAAAGATGTCCTCTGTATCCATAGCTGTCTCTCCCTGGGTTATACCCTGCTTCTCAGTCTCGTTTTGTGTTTGTCTTTCAGCTGAAACTAAGATCTGCTTCAAATACTACCATGGAGTGAGTGGGGCCCTGCGAGCAACCACCCCCAGTGTCACAGTCAAAAACTCGGCAGCTCCTGTAAGTTTCATTTCCCCCCCTCTTTGGTTAGACCTAACTCTGGTCTTTCTTCACTTTCTTATTTTGTTCACGCAGGGGTGTGTGTGTGTGTGTGTGTGTGTGTCTGTGTGTGTGTGTGTGTGTTACACATCTATGGAGATATACTGATAGACCGATTATGAATAAACGGAGAGGCACCTCAAAATAGTCAAGAGGAATGAGATCCGAAGTCAACCTTATTAAAGCTCATGCTTCACTTGTGTGTTAGGGAAAAGCCGAGCTTCAGCATTTTCCTTAGATGGCCAAATGTTTCTAACAGAGGCATGTGCAATAACAACGAAGAAGCCTTTCTTTGGATCACATTTTTTTAATTGTTTGGTTTTAAATATTTATATTTTCTTAGGTTTTTATTTCTTTTAGGCTCATAAATAAATTAATGGAGTAGGACTTATTGCCTCAGGTTGATTTTAGTCATAGACTTATAACATGGTAGGCCTGGAAAGACTAGAATCTCTCACCCTTCTCTGTCTCTAAATGAGGACAGTGATAGAAGAGCGTAAGTAATCTATCTCAGGTCACACAGCTCATTGCAGATCCAGGATGTCAGTCACATCTTTTGTTCCCTGCTGTGTGGTTTTGCTCAGGCTTATGGTAATAGATGCCATCTTTCCTAAGTTACAATCCAGTTTTTATCTTTGGAGTGCTTCTCACTTGTTCTTAGTACATCCGATTAGGCTGAAATGCATTGAAAAATGGCATTCCTTTTCCTTTTCACAAAAATTTAAAATGACCAACTGGGGAGGCTGGACAGAAACCAGTGCGGGACTTTGTCATGCTAGTGGAAATAAAAAAGACTCTCTTTTTTTTTCTTTTTACATTAAAAAAAAAAATAGGCCAGGTGCGGTGGCTCATACCTGGTAATCCCAGCACTTTGGGAGGCCCAGGCAGGTGGATCACTTGAGGTCAGGAGTTCAAGACCAGCCTGACCAACATAATGAAACCCTATCTCTACTAAAAATACAAAATTAGCAGGGCATGGTAGCAAGCGCCTGTAATCCCAGCTACTCAAGAAGTTAAGGCAAAAGAATTGCTTGAACCCGGGAGGCGGAGGTTATGGTGAGCCAAGATGGCACCACTCCACTCCAGCCTGGGCAACAAGAGCAAAACTCTGTCTCAAAAAAAAAAAAGAAAGAAAGAAAAATGGAGAAAGTATTTGATATGAAATATGAATGATTCAGAAAGTACTTTGACTCCAAAAAATATTCCACTTTGCTGCTTTGCACATCAGTTCTGCAGAATCCTAAAGATGAGCTGATTGAGGCCTTGGTAGTAAGCAATAAGATAAGCATGCCTGAGACCCAAAGCCTGGCTGCCTCCATCTTCAGCACGACTGGACACAGGGCTGAGTTTACCATGAGGAAACTCATAGCGGGAGGCGCAGTGGGAAGAGTGGGAGAGCCACATGCGCTTTTGACAGCTTTGCGGTTTTTTCCTCACTGTCCATGCAGATTGGAACATGATTCCTGTGTGGGACAGCAATTTAAGTGTAAGAATCTAGGGAGGTATCCTCAGAGTGCCAGAACCTCTCTTCTAGGCCTATTTGTTTGGGCAGTCCTCAAAAGAAGGCACCCCGTAAAGCCAGACAGGTCCTGATAGCTGTTAGCCAATCATTGTTGCTGGGAGGGACAACTGAATCATGCTAGCTTAGGGACAGCTAAATCGAGACAGTGTTATGCAATGTATGCTTAAAATTAAGCAAGAGGCCGACTGCCCGGAAAACAGCCTCTAAAGTATGAAGAACAGCCCCTTGGGGCAGGATAAATTGTCAACAAGCATATGCTCCCCAAGGGCTGCCATCACCAGAAACAAGGGCTTGTATCTCAGAAGAGGAAGTGAGATGCTTCCATCAAACGATTGACATAAGGTTCAGCAGGTGGCTGATTGCTCCCACCCTGACCTCAGCTCCATGTGAGCTACCGCTGCAAACTCTGGCATCTTGAAATATTTTGACATGTTGCTGTCAACCTGATTTTTGTCTCCTTAATGATTTTCTCACACAAATCAGTAGGTACTTGGGTTGACACTTGAATGTACATCCTGCAGACAACTTTTATTCCCCAAGCATGTGAGAGCTCCATCGCAAACCCCTATGCCTCCAGGGACAAAGAAAGAAATCCTGGGCTTCTGCTGTCATGGTGAAAATGAGTCCCTGGAGTCTCAGGGCAGAAAGCAGTACACACTGTTCCACAAGACTGTATTTTCACAGGTAATTAGGTTTCATAGGAGCCACACTAGGAGGAGTCCCCATTGTTTAACAGCATAGCACGCTTCTCAAAGCTGCTTCTCACGCATTATTCTAGCTGATGCCCAGCACATCTGTGGAAAGAGGAAGGAACTATCATTCTGGTTAAGTGATTATTTGGCTGTATGGTGATGGAGCAGAACCACATTTCACTTAGACTTTTTGCAACCCAGCTCAGTTTGGGTATAATCTAGCAACCTTCCAGGTTACATAAGCCTTTGCAGTCTGGTCTGGGGACTTGACTATACTCTTTCTAAGGGAAAATGCTGTGAAGTTTCCCTAAATCAACTTGTTAATAAACTTGGAGTGTCCACTTTTAGGTTGAGGATTGCTGCTGCTGCGTTCATCTCTTATAAAGAGTTGCTGTCTGTTGCCATTGTATCACGTTCCAAAAGTCGCTGAGTTGGTTTGTGATAATACACTAAACCTGCCATTCTTTGAAAAAAAAAAAAAAAAAAAAGGAACAAGCTGTCACATGCTCCTTTGGTGTAACTGGTGCTTTAGTTTTCTGAGCATTGTAGGGTCTCACGATGCCTCAGTTCCTTTTCTCATTGGCTTGTTCCCTCTCATCTTTGTCCCATGGGCAACTGTTGAGGTCCTTGTTTAAAAGGAGATTGTCTTTTCCTCTTGTCTTTCTGGGGCTCTCATTTATTGTATGTCAGAAACTGATGGGTGTGCTTATAGAGGTAGATGAAATATAAGCCCTGTTGCTGAGAACTCACTGTGACTCCCTTATAAATTATAATGCTATGTAAAGTCTCCAGTGCCGGAGCAGGAAGCCTGCTGTGCTGTATACAGAGAAAGCTGTGCTGGCTGCTGGAGGAGGGGACGTGGGCTGAGGGTGGGCATCATGAGCAGGCCCTGGCCATGCCCTGAAGACAGGCAAGACCCGCAGAAAGGATGGCCTGTGCAAAGGCATGGGGTGAGAAATGGCTCAGCCCTGACAGGGAAGACCTAGTTGTCTTAGATTTAAAGAATATGGGATTCCTTGTCCCTGTATCTCCTCCTGCACCCTGTTTTTCATACTTTTTGTGTCTTATTGGGAGCACCTATCGTGTTTTATATCTTTCTTTTATTTTCTGTAGAAAAATCATTGTCAAAGGCAAGCTCTTCCTCTCCATAGTCTGGCCCTTGCTAACTCCCCCTGTGCATTACAGTCTTCTTAAATACGTCCCATGATATATTTTCCTCTCTCTGATTATACATCAGAAAAACAGAAATTGGCCTATCCCTACAGTTTGCCAAAGACAGAACGGGTAAACTCTCCTCTGCGCTACACACAGTCCACTGAAAATAACCAGGCTGCTCTACCGAGTCTGACCCTGCAGTGGATTTTCACATCCTCCTCTCCCCACTCTCGGGCACACAGCCGGCATCATCTGTAGGGGCTGCTGGAGGGAGTGGGCCCTTCCTTCACCTGCTGGTTCTCCTATAGTACTGGAGACTCCGACGTAGTCTGAAGCTGTTAGTGTGAGCCACGTAAATGAGAGTCTTTCAGGTCCCAAGCACGCTGCTCCCACACCTGGTTTATGAGACCCTCCCTGGGGAGCGTTCACCTGGCAGTGCAGGGGGCCTCCTCCCCACCCACACTGAGGCCTGGGACTGCAGCCTCTGGATACAAAAAAAATAAGTAGCTGGGGAATGACTCTGGCAGGGTCAAAGGCATTGGGAAAGGCCACCAGTGTGCAGGGCAGGCTGTGCATGTGACATCTCACCCCATGTGGGGCCATCTACTCTGGAGTACAGGCCCCTCCAGATTTAGAGGCTAGGCCATGTGTAGTCGAAAAATGTATTTCTCACGTTGTTTTTATCAGCATTAAAATATGTGGAAATCCCATCAGGATTATGTTACACTGGATTATTTTTATTCTCACCTCAAATTGCTATTGTTGGCTTATTTATTTACTTTATATTCTGTATTTTCTGGCTTTTTCAATGCGAAGTTGGAAGTAAACATAGGAAGATCCTCTCCTTCTTCCTCCATGTTAACCTAGTGCCTCTGCAACCAAGTTTTTGATGATAACTGAACAGCATCACATTCAAAGTAAAGTTATTTGCCAAAGAACAAAGAACAGCTGGGTGTGGTGGCTCATGCCTATAGTCCTAACACTCTGGAAGGCCAAGATGGGTGGATCGCATGAGACCAGGAATTCAAGACAAGTCTGGTCAACGTAGCAAAAACCCATCTCTATAGATAGATGGTTGGCTGGTTGGCTGGCTGGCTGGCTGGCTGGCTGGATGGATGGATGGATGGATGGATGCCTGGATGCCTGGATGCCTGGATGCCTGGCTGGCTGGCTGGCTGGCTGGCTAGCTGGCTGGCTGGCTGGCTGGATGGATGGATGGATGGATGGACGGATGGATGGATAGATGGATGGATGGATGGATGGATGGATGGATGGATGGATGGATGGATGGATAGACGGATGGATGGACAGATAGAGAGACAGACAGACAGACAGACAGATAAAATTAGCCAGGCATGGTAGTGCATGTCTGCAATCCTAGCTACTTGGGAGGATGAGGCCCAAGAATCACTTGCACCTCAGAGGCAGAAGTTGCAGTAGGCCGAGATCACACCACTACATTCCAGCCTGGGCAACAGAGTGAGACTCCCATCTCAAAAATAAAGAAATAAAAAAAAATAAGAAGAAAGAGCAAACTTAAACTATCTTTTCATTAGTTCATGTTTACAGATTCATTTACTTGGTCAGACCCC